CCTTCCTCGGTTCGGGTTGTGAGCCGCCCTGAGTCCCCTTCGGGGGAAAAGGGCAGCATAGAAATTTAATAAACTGAACTAAACTGAACTGAGGATATTTTATACCTAAGTGATCTTGTGTGAAATAACTATTGTAGTGTGATTAAATTATTTGATTAGGATTACAGGTAGTCTTCCATTTACAGCCACAACTGAGCCCAACATTTCTGTTGATAAGTGAAACATTTATTAAGGGAATTTTGCCCCATTTTACAATCTTTCTTGCATCGGTTGTTAAGTGAATCACTGCAGTTGATAAGTTAGTAACCTTTTGTTAAGTGAATCTGGCTTCCCCATTGACTTTGCTTGTCAGAAGGTCACAAAAGGTGAGCACATGATATTGGAATACAGCAACCATCATAAATTTGAACCAGTTGCCAAGCAACTGAATTTTGATCACATGATCATGGGGAAAGGTCGTAACTGTGAAAAAAGGTCATGTCACTTTTTTCGGTGCCTTTGTAACTTTGAATGGTCACTAAATGAACTGTTGTAAGTTGAGCACTACCTGTACCAAGATTTAATAATATTTGGCTAGTAAAATCAGTCTTAATGAATTGAAATGACACTTTTTTAAAGGAAGGACTAAATCCGTGACGGTGAACTTTTGGCACACGTGGTCTTCAGGAGGGCTCCTGAAGGCTCTGGAGGGCGAAAAACGGCCCTATGGATAAAGTCACCGTTCCTGAACCTCCAGTTTGCCCATAAGTCTGGTTTTTCATCCTCCAGAGGTTTCAGGGAAGCTCCTGAAGCCTCCGGAAGACTGTTTTCGCTCTCCCCAGGTTTCTAGAAAGCCTCTGGAGCTTGGGGAGGACGAAAAAAGTATGCCAAAAATGGGTGGCTGGGTTGTGACACTTGTTGCACATGCATGTGCGGGTGTGTGTGTCATGCACGCATGCGTGCTGGAGTCACGTACATAGCATTATGGGTGTGGCACGCCCTCACATGACCCTCCTGTGCTCCCTCCGCTTTTGGTACACAATCCAAAAAAGGTTAGCCATCACTGGACTAAATGTTCTTTTGAGATTTAGAACTGTGGGATCATTTGCTGATCTGCCCTCAACTTTCCTCCACATCAAATATCCATAAGTAACTTCAAATATTGAATAGGCAGTACATAAACAAAAAGAATGGTGATCTACTTACTCTTAAGTTTTAAGACATCTATGTGTACAAATATTAACCAATATATTTTATTGCTTGATGTAAAGGAGAAGATAACGCTTTTTTTCAAAAGTGAACTTTTATAATATTCCGATAGTGACAATATAATATCCGTCATTCTACCTGATTCATAGTACATACAACTGGGCCTGCTAAAAACTTGCGGGGCCTGCTAAAATCAGCTGTCTAATGATAGGGTGGCCCTTGAATTTGTGCCTAATTTTTGTGGGAGGTGTCTAATAACGTCACTTCTAATGCCACCTGTTTCTTCCCACCTCTATTTCGCTAAATGTGCAGATCCTGAACATGAGAAATTCCGATGGAGGTTTTTCTTCTTATGAAACCAGACGTGGAAGCTGGCTGTTAGAGGCCGTAAACTGCGCAGAGACCTACGGTAAGAAGAAATTATCAGGTGTTATCTGCAAAATTCAGATTGGAGATCCTGATTGGAATGTAGCATGGATACAGGCTCAGGAAATGAGTAAATTCCTTCATTTCCTTCCGGATTGGGAGTACTCTCAATCTACAGATTGAGAGTACTCCCAATCCGGAAGTAAGTAAACCAAAACCAGGAATTGTGTCTGGAAAACTCAGGCTATCCAGTCCAAAATAGTAATTGTTTCAAATTCAAAGAAGGAAGATGAGATGAATTAAGGAAATCTCTCAGCAGTGAGCAAAAACAGGTTATTAAACCAAAAGACGTGAACATCATTTAAAACCAACCACAGGCAATCATCACTTAATAATTGACTCATGTATCAACAATTTTCAGTTACAACTGTGATGAAAAACTAACATTGCAACCAATCCTCACTTTTATGACCACTAAGGTCTGGAAAGGAAAGGAAAGATGAAATAAGACCATAAGCACAGTTTGGTTTCTCTCAGGGACCATTTAACTTGATGAGTTACTGTTCCAGGTTGTGGTTACTAAATGAGGGTCACCTGTGTGCTCTTAAGTGTTTGTGTCGTTTTAATATAACTGAGCTGAGGAATCATAATATCTTATATAGTTGTCGTATTGGCAGTCCTTTAATGTAGCCAAAATGAAGTCAGCCAGCTTCTTTGGTCATAGAGAGGCTAAGATACTGGAGTATTGCTACCAAAGCGTCCTATTTGAGGTTCCTAGCTTCCTACAACTACTTGCACATGCTTGCTTTGAAGATGTTCCAGAAATTATAGTGAGATCACAATGCCATCACTAGCCTCTTGATTAAAATGTAAATAGATACATAAGGGTTGTGCAAGTTATTATGCATGTTTATGAGTTTAAGGATTCAGGTTTCAGAACCTACCAATAGTAGATGACCATGCTGAGCCTGCGGGAAGAGTTAAACATCTCATCAGTCTTGAGTTCCTTTGCACCCAGATCTCTAGTCATTTGAACAGCCTTTTTTCCTGAGTTATTGCACTTGTCACCACTTCTTTGAATAGTAATCCCCTGCATGAAAAATATGATTTTGACTAGAAAGGTGGAACCTTTTCTGAAATAGAATCTATACCATGGGCATTATACTTGATAGCTCTTTGCAAAATAAGTGAGTACATAAAGTCTATTTTCTTGCAGGTTTTTGGGCTGCAGAGGTAGCAAGGGGTTCTCTGCCCAGTTGCTGGGTCGGTGTGGCCATGGTAGGCGTGGCCCAGTTGGCCTCCTACACCACAGCGGGCAGGGGGAGGTTTCCCTCCCCGGGCTCTGGAGGCTTTCCTTGAGCATCTGGGAGGTTAAAACGGCCTCCCCAGGCTCTGGAGGCCCTCTGGAGATTGGAAACTTCTGGTAGGCCCATTTTTTCCCACCCTGAGCCTCTATGTGCGCCTTGCACTTAACTGCATCCAAAACAGGCCATGTGGTGACTCCTGGGAGAGGTGGATGGGACCAGCCAGGTGTGGGATTTGGGGGTTCTCCAAACTGCACAGAATCTTAGCTAGAGGTTCTCCTGAACCCCTGCGAACCTCCAGCAGCTCACTCCTGGCTTTAAGAAGAAAAGAACTATTGTTCTGTCCTTGTTTTCATCATTAGGCTTGCTATTTTTCAGTGAAATGTTTTTAGATAATTGGTATTACTATTGTAATCTAATGCCATTAATAGAAACCAATAGGAGACACCTACCATATTTTTCGGAGTATAAGACGCTCCGGAGTATAAGACGCACCTTAGTTTTGGGGGAGGAAAATAAGAAGAAAAAAAATTCTGCCTCTGCCTACCAGCATCCATGGTATTCAGCTGACACATGGTAACAAGGTCAGCCAATGAATAGGCATAGCAACTAAATCAGCCAATGAGGGCTATTAAGACTCTGAAATTTGCTGTGTGAGCAACAAGGAGACAGGAAGGAGTCTGGCTTAGCCAAGAACTGAAAATGAAACTGTGTTT